TCATAATCAGCCACTCATTTATGTCACATAATCAAATGTTCACTTTGTCTGGTTTTGTTGCAGCATGCCCCATATATCAAGAGTGGCAGATTAAATAGAAGTTTTTCGTTCATTTTTAAATAGTTTGGTATAGCGCAAAAAAGATTTTTAATTGTTCTTGCGTACCTTTTATTTCAACATTTCACATTGAAACAAGTTATTTTTGCACTGTCTTCCTGGTCAACGCAAATATGGCAAGATAACCTAATTTTGTTTATTTTGTCAATTTATTAATATCAGCAATAAGAGCATTTAAGAAAACATTAACAGTGAATCAAAAATTGGCTGTTCTGCCCATGGTTTGTAAGGTACAATCTATTCATAGCATATCTTCACGATCTGGATATTTACTATCTACAGGACGGAATTACTTCAATTTTGGTTAAACAGTATGCATTTAATTCTAGGTATAAAATTTATTCACTTTTTTTTGTGACCCATTCTATATACAGCATATAATGTGTCACCAAATTTTGTAAACTTTATCTTATGGAAAAGCCCAAGGAAAATAACCCAAAAATTGATTTACTCACGAGTGTCAAACGTAAAGTCTGCTAAGCGAAAAAAAAAAAAAAAAAGTTTATTTTACAAAATAACTAAATCGCTAATGGTTTGCAGCAATTTGTATGTAGCCCCGTTGGTTGTTATTGGCATAGAATTGCCTTTGTTCACTAAAAACGGCATTGAAGTTGTACAGACCGCAAAACAAAGCGCGAAAATGTAAAGTCAGGATAAGCTAGAATTGTCATTATCCTGACAAAACGTTTTACATCTCGAATTGGTTCATTTTATCGAGTCTAGAAAATGCCTTGATCTAATGGTACGTTCTTTTATTGTCACTATTATGCTACACGACGTTGGATCAATAATCACACACCTTTTTGGGGATTATAGAAAATAACAATCTACTTAACCATGTGATTTATAACGAAATTTATGCAATAATTAATATAAAAATGGAATCCCCAAAATTTTTTGTTATAAATTATTGGTACGGAAATATTAATATTATGACCCCTTGATACTTGTATCCCCCGAATATGAAGTGGTCATAATGTACGCGGATGGATCAAAGAGGTAATGATGACACTAATGAAAAACCAGAAAGGTGACCTCTGTCGCCTATTGGAAATGTGAACGAGTGGGAGAAAGCAATAATGGAAATGAAAGCAACTACTGTTTCGATCACGTGGATCACCTGCAATTAAAATTATTGATACTACAATTAATAGCCTCCAGGAATTATCGCCCATATAATCAAATGGTATTTTATTGAGCGTATATAATTGGGCGGCATCATTCTACAGTATTAATGGTTTTATAGAACTTTTTTTTGTGTTTGCAGCTCATATTAATTACTTCACATTTCATTGGCTGTTCATATTGAACGTATTGCACAACGTCTCCAATTGGTGCAAACGCCATACGACAACGTTCTGAGCTCTCGTTCGTTCGGCTCGAATTATAACATTAATTTGGGTTACATTTATATCTAGTATTCGTGTAGCCCATTCTAAAAATTTCCAACAAGGAAAGCTCGGTGTAATTTAACTATTTTCATTTAATCGATTATAGTGTACATCATATCAAATCAACTTCAGAAAATGGAAAATCAGAACAGTTAAAGTTAACCTGAATAATAGATAAGCTATGACAAAATTCAATAGAAATAATCTAAAACATATATAGACGATATCAATAGACGTATTTTGAGTCTGTCGTATTGATTATTATTTTCCATCCACGATAAACCAATAAAGAATACAGTTGAAAAGCGTGTAATGGACTTGTATATATATACACATGACACAAAAAAAAAGAAAAGAAAGAAGAGAAAACAAAACTACGGAAGACAACTTCCATTGAGAAGAGTAACCTAATGTTAAGACGACGCAATATCTCGTTGACTAAGATGATGATGGTGATGATGGTGATGACCCTTTTTCTTGATCGGTTTAAGAGTTCCAACATCGTGACGTCCTCCGCAGCATTCTCTCACGTTCTCTATCTCAAAATCATCTTCATCGTCATCATCAAGTACTGGAACGTCTCTGCTTGTTGCTCCCATAGGTGGCTGTTTATTAAGATCTGCTTCATGTGATAGGTGGTGAGGAGACTGTGTGCCAGATTGTCTGTCGCGACGCAAGAAATCTTTAATCTGACTAAAGCTAGACTTCTTTTTTATCTCTCTTTGTAAATTATTTGATCGCAACGTGCCATTGGGTGAAGTAGTCTCGTTGTCTAAATGCAATTCATCCGATCCTGCTCGAGATCTCATGCCTGTGTCTGCTGCATCATTGACGAGATGATGAAGAGCCTAAAAAATCAAAGCGACTGTTAGCTGGATACATTCAGATGGCCTCAACAGCATGCCAATACACAAATTTATCAAATAAACAAACCTGGTACCAAAGATCATGACGTTCTTTGTCTTTTGCAGTGAACTTGACCTCTCGTCCACCGCGAGTCATTACGACTATACTTTTACCGTAAAGATCGCGTGGGAATGGATTAGAATCATTCTCTTGTCTTACTCCGGCGATATAGGCAGCTTGAACTTGTACTAATGATCGAGAAAATATGACATCAATGAGCGTGGTCAGATATTAGAATTGTCAACAATCCGTAAATATCATAACTATTATTTACCTTTAGAATCACCATCGCGGCCGCCTGGATCTTTGTCACTCCAATACAATATCTTTGTGAATGGATGTACCCAGAAGAACCGTCGATTTCTTTTCGCCGGAGTTCCAAACTTACGACGAGTATATTTGTGCATAAATTCTCCAATCATCGTCTGTGTTATGAATTGAATGACGGTCGGATCTGTGCCAGAACGGAACATATTTTCCGTGCCCGTTGTCAAATCAGCTACCGATGACCCAGAGAGTGGCCGAGATTTTTCAGTGGCTGTAGAGTCAGTGCTACTAGTGGACACTGAACTAGGAGAATGTTTATGATCCGGAGACATGGGTCGGCCGTCGACTTTCGGAGTGATCTCTTCGGCACCAGGAACAGATCGTGATCCCTGTGCAGCAAGGCTCTGTATTGGTGGTACCGATTTATATTGTGGTACACCATCAGATGTCATTCCATTAGAAATAATTAGATTGCCATCTTTATCCATACTCACCGTACTGTTACGTGAGAGTGGAGAAGTAGGTCTACTAAGAAACACGGAATTAGCACGTCTTAACGTCTCTTCGGGTGGACCGAACGGCGGGCGAGGTGGAACATCAGTTGAATTAATGGAACCCTTTCCTCGAGCATTAGCTTTCGAACTAAGATCCAGTGTAAATCTGGTCTCATCGTACATCGGATAATCAAGAGAATCAATAGTCTGAGTGCCAATCTCCAATTTCGCCAGATCGGTCTGCGTCTCGGCGTCAGCAAACGTCTTGACTTCATCAGCACCTCTCTTTGAACCTCCAACTGCTGATACAGCCTTAGAACCACGTGATGGAATAAATGCGGATTCTCTTCGAAGAGACATGGCCGACCCTCGTCGAGATACCGACGCTGCGTTCGATTCCTTGGCAGATGCAAACGATTCAGCAGTTGAGTCAAAACTACCAACAGACGATTGGCGGTCGTGTCTCGCCTCGGAATTGGCAAGTTGTTCGGTTGGCGACTTGCCCTTGGTCAAAAGCGATAGTGCAGCAGCTCTTTCGGCTTGTACTTCGTTAGGGTCCAATCCTTCGTACGATTCGGTAGATTGAGGTATTACATTTCCGTCAGCATCACGCTTGATTACTTCGCCGGTGATCAACTCATCACGTTCCATAGCGAGCATATCTTCTTCGTCTTGCTCCTCCACTTGCCCGTCGAGCAATAGCTTGGTCCTCCGGAATGAGCGATTACTTCCATTTCTTGTTATGGGCGGACCGCGTCTGAACATATCAGACGAAGGTCTATTATTCTTATTAATATTTTCATCGTCATAACCATCGTGAGACATTACATCATCACTAAGCACATCGTCCTCTTCAGCAGCTTTATCCCGTCGTCGGTTTCGGCTTGCTGGATCGTGGCCAAAGTCGAGATTATTGCGTAACGACTCGATTTCCTCCTCCCTGGCTTGGAGAAGTTCCTTAATCTCAAGTTTCTCGTTCTTTTCCTTTTGGAGAGTTATCTTCATCTGTGCTATCATCTTCTGAGCATTCTGAAGAGCTTCCATTGTCGTGTCTCTTATCTCTACGGTCTCTTTTACGAATTCTACGGTATGCCCGGGAGACTGGGCATCGGTTGCTTCAGTTCCAGAAGCAGCAGATGCTGACGGTTTTTTGGGTACTTTATACTTGTCTAGTTCCTTTCTCAGTTCCTCGTTTACTCTCTCGAGACTCTCAATTTCTCGCTTCATGGCAGCTCTAAGTTTACGGTTATTACTCATAGCTTCATCGTGGCGTTTCTTATAATCGTCTAATTGATTAGTAAGTTTAGCCTCTTTGGCTTTTAATTGCTCTATTAAGTCAGTAGCGCTTGCAAGGGCCTTCTCTCCCTTTTTGAGATCTTTTTGCAACTTGTCGATGTTATCATTCAATTCTTTGATTTGACCTTCTAAGGACTGTATTTCTCCATACAATGAATAGTTTTCGCTCTTAAGCGCCTCTACAAAAATTGAAAAAAGTCCGTTCTTGTTAACATAATCGACATACTCGAGTTCGGGTTAGAGTTATGTAAGCACAAAGTTTTAAAGCGACATATCAGTCATGATATCACATTTACCTTCTGACTCTTCTTTAGCTCTGAGGTGTCTATTTATTGCTTCAATACTTCGTTCTAAATCTCCTTTTTCGTTTTCTAATTCCTTAATTCGTTCTTCTTTCTCCTGAAGGAGAGCTTGTAATTTTTTGACTTCGCCTAACAAACTTTGTCCTATCGAGGTAGCGAATTCCATATCATGATTTCGGTTCGCATTCCTCTGTCTCCTATTTCTCGATGGGTTTGCCGCTTGCTGGGATAAAGCAGAAGCTTCTGAGGCTGGTGGTGTGGACGTTAAGGGAGCGTGACCAACGTTTGTTGCGCTCTAGTAGAATAATGGTTATAAAATCAGCATATTTGATGACAAAATGATGGGGGTTTGGTTTGAGAATCGAGAATAATCTATTCCGTAATTGCAAAAAACGGAGCATTACTAGTGCGCATATTAGTATCTTTTCCAAAGAAAGTCTATTGCGTCAGATCATTGCGTCATCTACACGATTATTTTTACGGCTAGATAATGTCCTCCCAGTTGAACTAGTGGGTAAAATTTTGCCGTTCGTTTGATAGTGAAGGTGGGGGTTGCTTACCGTGGAAGCGCCTTCCAAATTTTGGGTTCTAGCGTCCAAAGCCTTTGCAGCTTCTTCTAGCTCGTTTAATTTGCTTTTTAATTCGGGCGGCACATCTCCTTCGATTTGCTCGAGTTCTTCTATTCTTTTTCTGATTGCCTCCTGTTGCACTAGTAAGTCTTGACCTAACGCAGCGGTTAGTTGTGTTTGTTTTATCTTGTCCTTCAGCTGTTCCTGTAACTGTTGTATGTATTGAGCTGATGTTTGGGGGTTTCCCAAGTATGCAGATCGCCTCGAGGATGACGACGATACCACTATATCGGGAGTACTGTTGGAAACCATGCCATTTGTATCTCCACGATCTCCATTGTCTATATTCGCCATAGTCTATGATATACGTATGAGTATGTATATATTGTATATAAGTCTATCTATGCATAAAGGTATAAATTTTCAGATGAGTAAACGAGGGCGAGTAGACAACCTGGGAGTGATGGTATTAAATAATTAAAATAAGGAGGGGAAGGGGAGGGTTTAGTTAAATATATGTGAGTATTAGGAAGGGAATGTTGGGGCCAAGTCAATGGTAAGAGTGAGTGGGTTTGGTGACAAAAAATTCGTTTAGGCGAATTTAATGCAGGTGTGCTTATGGGTGTATTTATTGGTGATTGTTTGGCAATTGGGTGACAATTGGGTGACAATTGGGGATCATCCTTAGGGTATGGTTAATGGTTAATGGTTGATATAATGGTTAGCCTCTTTGTGATGCTTTTTATTGTGTATTCGAATTTAGTCGACATTGTCTGTGGTGGGGGAAGACGCTATGCAGTATTAACATGGTCTGATAACCACATATTTTTTCTAAACATAACGTACACAATCTTGATAGGAATTGAGTTTAATATTAATCTTGGTTATTTTGATTGCATTACATATTAAATCAGTCCATTCATTATCAGACAATGATTGAGTGAGGGGCTTATTTCTAATGTGTAAGAAGCTTTCCTTTCCCCCAACTATTATTATAAAACCTGTTGATACTCCGTTAAATGTGTCATTGTGCACAATCACGTGATAAACAACACTGATATGGTGAATAGACGCTATTTCCTTGCATTTCGTATCACACAAAGCACAAATAAGTCTTTGTCCACACAAGCGTTTATTGTTAACCGACAATGGCGTCGAGTGTATCAGAAAGCTTAACCGTTTTAAGACAACACGGGACGGACTTTTCTTTAACCGGTACCAAGTAGTTTTGTCTGGGACTACCCGGGGTTTGCGAATTTCTCATGGCTCGTGTGTGCGGTATGATCTTTCATTTTCCCTATTAGTAGTTTAAAAGGGTGACAAAACTAGAATAATGGGCCAAGATTATTCTTCAAAAAGATTATTTGTTTCGGTTATTATGATAGCGATAGCAATTTGCACGGAATGCATGGCTATAATGTACTGTACCTTATATAGTAGTATTCGAGTAGAATGTTTGCATCAACATTCTTGTGTCTGACAAATTTATTTTCATGTTACGTTGGTTAACCCAAAGACTTAGTATTGAGTATCAGTTAAGTTTCCCCATTGCTTGGTCTTATAATTGGGGAAAAGACCAGACAAAGTTAAAAGTGAAAAAGCAGCAAACATTTTATGTGTTACAAATCGCATTCTTTGTTCTTACACTCCATAACGTTTCTAATATTAGCAAGCACTTTCCATATTTAACTAAGTAAATAAGCAAACCCAATTTATGAATACTTTGTGCAAAGACCACCAACATTAGTTTTGGCATTGGGAAGATTGAAGCTTGGCTTGTAAATATTCTACAAATTAAAAAACTATAATAACAATATAAGAACGGTCGTTTGGCCTTCCCTGCCAATGGGATTTAATTATTTTAATATTAACTAATTACATTAATTCAACTCGCCGCATGACGTAATAATATTCGTATGCATGGAATATTCGCCAACCCTCCTTATAGTCACCACCCTCTTTATAAGCACATTTTAAGGACCAATGGCAATTGAACGCGTAGAAAACCCTCTATATAGTCACAACCAGTTGCATCGTTTCCGACAGCGTGATTGCATAGAAAAAACATCGCAACGATTACTGTTTCAGTGTCCCTTTTGCTTTTTTAGAAGAATAATGACATACAAGACTTGATGCTTCTTTTGTCAAGAACATCAAGAAGGGCAAGCAAAGTATTTATTATTATACTTGGATTAAAGACTTTGGTTCTGCTAGCTTAAAGTTCTTTTCGATATAAGGTTTAAACATTAAGCATGTTAGTTTTCAAAGCGTTATTGCTTGAATTTTTAGTTGGTTCGTAAACCCAGTACGCATCAAAAGTCTCGATCGTCTAATCCTCGATATTGGCTTTTCGTGAACACGTGTGGTTGATCACAATTCGTGCTTTTGCTACTCAACAGATTTCAATTCTCGATACTGGGCTTGCCCAGTATTCTACAAATCATAACTCATAATCGACACAAGCTAAACCGGTGGAAACAAAACTTTTGCTAACTCACCTCTGTGACAAACATTACTTGGAAGAAATGTGGTATGTTCTTCTGACATCTTGGAAAGTTAAAACAGTGTTGTGGATTGCAAATATCGACGATAAAAACTTTAATCGTGCGATCACCAACCCTACGTTCACGTGATAAATGTTCTTATCTTATTCGTGATTGGGGCCTAATCATATCTTTGTCCATGACAACCACGAATTGCATATATCATATATATGGCTGGAAGGGTCAGCCATTTCACAACATTAGAGGCACGATCGTCGTTTACGGTACAGTCATCAATAATAAAGGATAGACAACTTTACAGCTCCATTATAATTAGTACCGTACATGAGCTTTACAGCCAAATCTACAGCATAAACATTTAGCTATCAACCATTACACCAGCCTATTACATTTTGCGTCAATTGAGCCTTGACAAGCTTCCTAATTAAAATGATTATTGAAAAAGGCAGCTGTACAAACACACCGCAAAGATATATGCTTGTGCTGGCAGCTGCGAAATGGATTTTTCAGAAAATATTATTGTTATTCATAGAACGGAATATGGTTTTACTGGTTATCAAAAAATGTTGATGATAGAAAATGGCAAATAAGCTAGAGAACTGATTAAGTTGCAAAAGAATGAGTTTTCTGAAATCTTCCAAAATTAGAATGATGAAATTATATACTGTATACATAGGAATACTGTATATAAAAAATTCTAATTATGGCGGTTTCACCGAATATGAAAAGCAATACGTTTCCTGGAGACAGGTTGCAATTGTGGCTGTTCAACAATGCTCCCAAGAGAGGGATTTGCTGAATTATGTAAAGCTCTCTCTAGATCTGAACAAGATATATTTTTAATGGCCCAGTTGAAAGCGATTTAAAACGCGTACTAATAAGCGAACTGAAATCGGCATACGCTTCTCTGTAGAAAACTTATCTTAATAAGTTGGTCGCACGCACTTCGAAAATGTCAGAAATCATCTGGCAGCGAATGATATAATACCGCGCGTTTATGGTAACATAAAACGAGTGTCGCGATGAAAAACCAAAATAATCATTGATATAAACGTTGCTACTGCCGTGAAGAATTTTCTCGAAAACTATGCTGGAATTCATGGGTTGTCAAGTCCTGGTAGAAATGTTAATCGCATTACTCAATCGCTTACATTATTGCCAGCCGAAACGAGTTATATCGGTCTATCGCAATTTTATTGCCACATAGAAATTGTTAAAATATGATGCGTTTCGCAAGCTATGGCACTAATTAACGCCTTATATTCAAATTATGAGTCCAAGAACGGATTTATGTGACACGTGCCAGGAATGGTTTACAGTATAATGAACATTTAGTTAAAGCTAAATTAGAGAGAAATTATTACAACAAAATACGAAATTAGCAGAGCAACAAAGGAAATTAGTAGACGAGAATTATCTTGGTAAAGCTAATTATTATAGTATTGACGCGACTGCTCATTACAGTTACGATTGAGCGCAAACCGTTCACGTACCCCATTCCGACCAACAAGTAAAATTTATTATCTCGGTCCGCGTAAAGTGCATTTATTTGGTATTCAAGATGAAGCAGCACGCGAACAAATTAATTACGTTCTTGATGAAGACGAAATTATCGGCAAGGGTCCTAATGGTACGCTGAGCATGGTATTCGATGGGATTAAACGACTGAATAAAGGCGAAAAGCATTTGAAGGTTACTTGCGATAACACGGGTGGACAGAATAAAAACAATGCCACTATTTGATTTTATTTATATTTAGTACTTTGCGGATATTATGAAAGTATTGAATTAAATTCATGGTACCTGGATATACTAAATTGGGGCATGCTGCAACAAAACCAGACAAAGTGAACATTCTATAAATGAGGGACTGGTTGTGATGTGATGTAATACCATGTACTGTATTCATAAGTTATGGACTTGTTATTTTAATGTTCACTTTATCATACCAGAAGGTGATGAATATATATATAAACCATAACAGGATTAATATAGGATTATCTCTATATAAAAATATTAATATGAAACTAATTTACATTAGACCAACTATTACTATGGAACCCAAGAACTACAGTATCATTAGAAGTATTTTGAAGGGGAAAAAATGCCTGTTTTTAAAATCAATGACCCAAACTCTCTAGAAATATCTAAATCAAGAAAAATTTACTTATTATTATGAATTTATCAAGAAGAACGAAAAATAATAAACCATAAACGAACATTAATACCAACACAGAATAAACCAAGAAAGACTGGCAGAATAAACAATCATATCATTATTAATCATCATCCTCTTCATCATCCTCTTCTTCTAGTTCAGCAGGGGAGTTTCATCATTGAGCCAGGAGTTTTCTTTTCCAGATGGCTCAAACAATACTGCTGAGTAATAAAAGAATTCCTCCTCCAGCTCAAGCAAAAGGATTATTGATTCTTCAGAACACTTCTTGTGGTTCACTATCCTTAAATATAATATAAAGGGCTTGTCATACTTCTTGATTTGACCTCCTAACTTTTCACTATAGTATTTAATAATTCCCTCTTCAGTAAAGTTTTTCTCATCTCCATAAATGGTGCGGTCTAACAAGATTAGTTTATTTTTACTATTTTTATAATCTTTTATCTCTGCTAAGATGCCTTCTTTGAGTTTACTATCCGCTTTTAATTCTTGTAAAGAATCGTTCCCGCCACTACTTCCGGATCCCGAGTAAAGAATCAATCCAGTCAATCTCGATTGTTAGCATTGGTTCCCGGAAGATCATAAGTATTATCAGTTATTTCGGGTTTTTTAGCTAGCGTGTCTTTACAGTATTTAATTATCAGAGCTTCGATTTAGATTAACTTTATCAGCCA